TCTTTTTATTGTTTTCATTTTAAACACGTTTAATGTTCATCAGTTATTTTAAAATGTTATTTTTCCCAACATCTTATCTTATTTAACCCTAACTTTATTTCTTCTTCTTAAACCAAAGCAAAGCTGCAGAGTTGAAGCTGAAAGCTGAAACAGAAGGAAACTTTACGTAGGTGCTGGTTGTTYTGGACAGCTGGTTCAGATCCACCATGTTGTTCAGGATCTCCACGTCCTCCTCGTCGTCGACAACGGCCAAATCTGTGAACTTTTCTCTGCAGTGTTTCTGAGCGTCAGCCCAGKTTTTCAGCTCGTACACAAACGTGAAGCGACGAGCAGCGGCCAGCTGCACGGCTGCTGGGAAACAAAGAGTTAAATATGATGAAAAATAAAAATTTAACATCTTTTTATCTGAATATTTACCTGAAGCAGCGAGGACAAAAACAGCTACTTTCTCCATCCTGAACTTTCATCACTTTATGACTGAAGACAAATAGAAACTGGAAAAAATGAAACATTTGCATTCTCATCTGTATGTAACCCTGATCATTATTTAGTCAAAAACTATTCAAATATCTGATTTACATAACCAAGGTCACAATTCACACCAGCTGTTTGAACACAGGAATATAACAACTACAGTTAAGAACTGTTCAAATGATTTTAAATAAGAGGCAGATATATTTAATTTGTTCCTTTTTTCTGCCTTTCATTCAATAATTAATTTACCTTGTTATAAAATAAATAAATAAATAAAAACTTCAGTGAATATTTTTAACAACAAACTATATTTCTTCAGTTTGAACGTGGATCAAAATTTTTGATGTCTGGACTAAAACAAGATGAGACCTGGTCCAACAGAAAGTCCCGCAAATCTGAAATCAGAGCAGCACAAAGTCAAAATGCATATTAAAGAAAAATAACTGGAAAAACGCATTATTTTACAAAATTCATGCGTTTCTAATGGTTTCAGTCAGTTTTATTTTGAAGGAACATTAGGGGGCAGTAGGGCATCCAGGAGTTTATGAGAACAAGTGGGAGGTTYTTGATGTGTGGGCGGAGTTTGTTAAAGTCATGATTGGTCAAATGGACTGACGATTGTTTACAGCACACACAACTTCCTGTTAGCTTCTTAGCTTAGCTTCACAGTCAAGCTGGTGCACTACGTACGTCATGGCCAAACGTTAGCGACTGGGTAAAATCACCCAATCATTGTAAACTTCAACAGAGGCCACGCCTCCCGGAACAAATCCTCTCACTAACAGAGTTCAGACCCTCTGTACCAAGCAGAGAGAAGAACAAGAGGCTGGTTTTACATGTTCACAATAGTTTTACTATTACCAGTTCTTCAGCTTTTAACTCCACCCCTTCCGTAAAATGTCCATTAACTTTAGTAAAAAAATTACTTTGTTTAGCTTGTACACAACATACAGTGGTTTGCAAAAGTATTCATACCCCTTGAACTTTTCCATATTTTGTCACATTACAACCACAAACATAAATATATTTCACTGGAATTTAAAAAATACCAACATGTTTTGTATAGATGAGGCAAATTTAAATTAAGACATTTAAAGAACCATTTTTTCTCAAGCTGTACAAGCAGTTATTAAATAAATAAATAAATAAATAAATAAATAA